CCCACAACGTATTGACGCAGCATTAGCTTCTGGATGTGTGTCAATGCGAGGTAAGCTCTCATATTTTATGTTTATTCTCTCATTCCAAATCAAACTAATTTGGTTCAATCAATTTTTTTAGTTACACGGGCTCTTGCACGTGTAATTCAGTCGATTAATGGTCAGAATTTGATCCTGATGCCACGTTCAGCTCGACGCTCATCTGGTCTTCGTCCACAACCAATTCGTCAACGTCGTAATACGGTTGCAGTAGAAGTTGCTCGACGCTCACCTCGTCTTCGTCCGCAATCAATTCGTCAGCGGCGCAAAACGGTTGCAATTCAAGTTGATACTTGGAATCCAGAATTTGTTCAACAGTGTCCTGAATTGACTGCAGTTCAAGGCGACCTTCCGAATCCCAAACCAGTTCAACAGCGTCGCAAATCGGTTGCAGTTGCTGTTCAAGTCGATATGCCATATTCAGAACGTGTTCAAGTGGTTTCTCCAGAAAATCCCGAAATTTGGTGCATTTGTCGAGACGAGGAACACGGAAAAATGATTTTGTGCGAAAATCCGTTTTGCGTTATAAAATGGTTCCACATGGCTTGCCTGGGTATGAAAACAACGCCAGAAGGAGACTGGTACTGTGCGAACTGTCAACTGATGAATGCACATGGAATTTCCAGGCAATCCTAGTTGCACAAAGCACATTCAGCACCGCAATGCCCGAAATAATTATAGCCGCACAATAGCTTTTCTTTAAACATTTCTGGGAGATATTGTTGCGTTTTTTTTCATTATTTTTATTTTATTCAACACCGCCAATTATTATTATTAACTTCATTTATCAATAAAGAATAACTTAACGAATATCCATCAATTCCATTGCAAACAATTACTTTTCGAATGTTTCCTTATATGTCGTACGATTGTTGGCACAATTAAGACGGATTGGAATCAACACCACTGTACAGGTAATGTTTGCTGCTCCCAATATTTACCATATTGACCTTGAATCTCTCCCATCATTGTTCCAACAATCGTACAACCAACAAAGAATGGCCTCTCGAAGCGAAGAAAATATCATGTTGTTCAATGTTCAGCAGTGCACACCATATATCGGCCAATTTTTTTTTTCATTTCACCTTGTGGAGCTTCATACAGCTGTCGAACAAACGCCTAATCATCTGGAGGCGGTAGTGCTCGCCGGTATAGGTTATAATAATAATATGGTAACCATTGGGTGTGAATGGCAAGTACGGAGGACACATAAGCCGTTGGAACCATGTAATTATGCAATGGGAAATTTTTTGACAGATAAGGGCGTAGATCTTTCAGCAGATATGCATTAGCATCTCTATCGGCCATCATATAAGCTATAAGGCGCTTCGTCCACTTTCGGATGTTCTACATGCGTGTCGATGAATTGTCACTGAGTGGATCGGAAAGAAAACGTTCCGCGGTAAATACAGGATGGTTTATGTAGCCACGTGTCACACCAGCACCACCAATATACAATTTCCCTTTAACTCCAAGTGGCACTGGTTCACCATTTGTATCCAACAGGGTAAATACGTAAATTTGTTCGCTAGGTACAGGACGGCCGATTGCTACCAACGAGTTTTTGGAATTCCCTTTCTAATGGTACCATTGGTTTGGCAATGTGTCAACTACTTCTCAGATAGTTTTCAGTTGGCGCAATCTCATTTTTTCGATTTTTTCAATTTTCTGACAAATTTACACTGGGTTAACTCGATTTTGGTTTTCTCATTTTCTTCCAAAAACAAGACTCCGTACAAATTTTAAGCCAATTCGGAGATGGTCGATCCAATTTTTGGTCGATTTCGTGTGGTATGGCCGATATTTACAATAAATAGTATACTAAAAAGGCCGAGTACGCCGAGTACTTCATTGTTGAATAAACACAATAACCGCGATAACTGACATGAACCAAACTACTTTTTTCTTTTGTTCCCATACCGTTTGCTATTGAATATTTACTTTCGAGAAAGTAACAGTAATATCAACGTCTCCACTAGTTCAATTATTAGCCAAAGCGATGGCACTAATGGCATTAACATAATCGGATTCGGTTTCACAAACGAAACGCCTGAAATGCCAAATAAATGTTGTATTTAAATTCCAATTGAATTTTTGTATATATTTGCAATGTCGTCTGTTGCACCGGATGAACGATGAACTCATAGCTAGAGCTAACAAAATGATCAAAGTTTGGAAAGATGACAAAAGAATAAGCTGAAACTTTTACGTTGCTTGTTCAAACAAAAGCCACCGGTAACGGTTTATTTGATTCATGCATTCCCATCCTATTAACTCCAACAACAAATCGTCATACTTAAATTACTTTTCATTCACCTATGTCGTTTGGGATCGAGTACTAACAGAGACCGGCAATATCTCATTGTTATGTTTAAACAATTGAAACGCCCAATATGCCAGATTATCCAGAATTTACTGACATTTCGCAAACGTTTTTCATCAACTCAAACCTGCTTGGTTTGCCGCAGCAAATGGAAGTTTTTGTTCTCATCACAAATTCATGGCGGAAGCTTTTCTACGCATATGGGACCATTCGTCGATCAAAGACCATGTGTCATCACTAGGTCAACCGGTGCAGTTTTTGGCGGAATGAAAATGTAAGCGATCGATGGTTTTGGATCAATTTCGGTTTTTCTCAAAATAATTTAATTTCCTCAACATTTACATTCACTTACTGTAAATTCCATGTTGCTAATTGTTTACATCTCATTATGTTTTGATTGCATCTTAGGAGGAGAAAAAGCAACGAGATTCAATTTTGGAGGGTCACTTCGAGTACAAAGCTGTTATCGAAATGGCATTTTCGTGACAGTAAACCAACTGATATATAATTGAAATTATTGACTATGTGCAGCACCAAAAATAATAATCAACCCGTTGACTTACTATGCATAGTACTCTAACTGATTTGCTTGGTTTATTTTTTAATACACACTAAACATCCACTGACATCCACGTCTTCTGGTGTCTTTCACTTCTTCTTTAACAATTTCATTTTGTGTGCAATTTGCTGGGCAAAATATGCTACGATTCTGTGTGAATGTTATCAATATTTTGGAATATCTCTTTGAATTTTAATTAGAAAATGTTTTTAACAATTTACGTAATAGCTTGATCAGAAAGAGAAACAATTAGAAGTTATCACATAAAATAAAACTATTTATTTTATGTAGCCATTTTATCACTAGTAAGTTTAAATCAAAGAGCACACTGGTTGTCAAGACTATTTAACGATAAACAGTGCCATCCCAGTTAATACAAGAGCAAATCTAGAGAAATTCAATTAAAAATGAGATTTTTCTGTTCATTGTATCAAACAATGCGGTATCGCCTAGATATATCCATTGGATATTTCTACTAGACAGCATATTTTGTTGCGTTTATACATACGCTTCGTTACACAGTGACGGTGTCGCGCGCGACATACACAGAACAGAGCGCATTTGAGGACGCATTGCAAATACAAATATGTGAGCGCTCAAGTCTTTGAATACATACGAACAGCGGGCACACAAATGGTAGTAAGCGTTCGTCACAGTCACTGTGTAACGAAGCGTATGTATAAACGCAACAAAATATGCCGTCTAGTAGAAATATCCAATGGATATATGTATCTAGGCGATACCGCATTGTTTGCATTGTATGTATTTCCTGATAAAAAAATATAAAAAAGAGAGAGAAAAAACAGATAAAAAATTATAAACAAACTGTACTATTATGAAGAATAAAGCTATGCAAAATCTCTTGGAGAATGTTTATTAAACGTATGCCTTTTTGAAATTAAAGCCATAGAAGAGTGCACGAATAAAAAAACAACCATTACACAAGCAATTTAATGTATTTGTACGAAAGAAATTTCTGTGAGAAGTGAAAATGTACCTCATTCAAGTTATGCACAATTATTTCGATAAGCCTATACAATTCGATCTCGATTACGCGTTATGCACTGGACCGGCATGTTGATTGTTGACGGATAATTGAAAAAGAGGAATAATCGAATTTTGGTTTAAATAACAGAATATGGTAGAGAAGTAATGAATATATGCGGTTGCAATAATATGCAGTATTAATTATGGAAAATCATATATAAAGTGAAAAATAACGTTGCTTTTTATGAATAATCTCTAAAATCAAATAAAAACAAACACAGCTGGTCGTATAGAAAAGTGTCTTGACGAAATGGAATACAGAGATAAGCATTGTATTGGTATAGAATAGAAGTCAAAAGATCAATCGATTTATGTGAAAATACTCGGCACGACGATTTTCAAATACTTAATACTATGATAAGAACTACTATACCTAATACTTTAGTATTTAAGTATTTGAAAATTGTCGTGCCGTGTTTTCACATAAATCGATTGTCCTTTTAACCTCCTTTCTATACCGTTTTAAAAATATTCTTCTGATTTTCTTTCCTTTTTTCTATTAATTGTACAATGAAAATTTTTCATCGGAAATAAAATACTGTAAACAGAAACGTATAAAGCAAATTGAGCAGAGTCGCAAACAATAAAGTCAAAAAGATAGAACTACGGGGAGGAATTGCCAGAGAAGAGCGACCCAATGTGATCACTGAGGTGGTCATTGAAAAGGTAAAAAACAAGCGCAAAGTCTATCCGAGAACTGTCTCAAATTAGTTTCTCAAAAAGACTTTGGGGGAATTTCTGGTCAATTTTTGATATGGACTGAGCTGTGATCTATTGCAGAATGTTTGATGAAAGTGATTCGGTGCTTCAAGATGTGAAAATAGTTGTATCAGGTGCAACATTGGTCGAAAAGCTATTATCTATCATGGCACAATTTGTTGCCAAAAGTCCGGAAATTTGGCCAACGAGACGTATTTGGTTCGTGAACGTATTGCCGGATTCATTTTGCATACGATAACTCAAATAAAGAACAATAGCTTGGAAAACAACAGAGATCATTGAATCAAGAACCAGCGTATTGCTGAAAGTGATATTTCAACCAATAATGAGAGAGATTCAACGGGCAAGCATGTTTCGATGGATGATTCTGCGCACATAATTAGCGAGTTTGCGTTTCCGTTTGATGAATTTTTCGGCGATTCGAACAGCGCCTCAGACGAAAAAAAAACAAAATAAACAAAAGAAGGTCACAAATAGAGTAACTAAATAGAACAATATTATATATTGTATATTATTATAATATTTAATTGATAATCTCAGTTGAATTTGATAATTGTTTGATTAATTTGATGAGTGGTACCATGTTTACTCACACAAGTACAACTTGAACCAAGTAACAACATTGACATGAAGTCGTTCTTTGAAATCATATGCCAAATCTTCATTTTTCCTATGGTGATTCCATCCATTTGTATAATATTCAAAAGTTTCATCCATCGGTCAATAAGACGCATAACGGAACTGATAAAAGTTAAACAATATCATTATTGGAATTTAAAAGGGAAATTGCAGCTTATCAAAATTTGAATGAGTATTTTTGCACTTGTTTTTATTTACACAATGAAACAAAACCTTTTTCTTTGTGATTTCATGTATACCCTCATTACAATGTCATGAAAATGATCCAATAGATTCGTTATATCAAAAATAATAATATACAGAAAAGAAATCTCCTATTGATTTGTGAAAACTCTCTATAACATCAACAATTTTCGAATATTCGATTAAAAACCATGTAAGCTGTGATTTTTGTCCACTATGGCTGATCTCTCTCGATCATGAAAATTCTATATACATTTTTCATTTTTTTCGGCAATATTTCAATGATATCTTTATGTAATTATTTTGTCATAGTTGGTTTCATTTGTTTGTAATGGTCCTGACGGCATATGATGCAATTACAATCAAATTTCCAAATCTGCTCAATTAAGTTTTTTCGCTCAGGTACGCTCGAATATTGTGTACCTCCTAAATAGTCGATGAAGACCTGCTCACCCTTTTTTATCGTATGACGAACCACACATCGCATGGTACCATTTTCATCCATTATAGTATCTAGATTCGGATCACACGAGTGATTTATTCGGCTTAGAAAATCAAACATAAAAACCGTACAGCGAACTCGAGAATTTCTTTGTGAGTATTCGTCTACCGAAAACGAATTCATTGGGATAGTTTTGATATGTGATAATGCAAAATGAAGAAAATGGCGTCGAAAATTATGCGGATTGGTATTAACGAGGAAACTAAATGTTGGGTGTGTTGATAAGCATTCTACAACTCTATGTGCTTTTTTGATATTTGATTGTTCTGTGAAACCCTTAAGCTGTAAAATTTCGCCATAATTTGAAAACGGTGGAAGGCAATTCCTGGGATTGTTTCTGACAAATAATACTCCACAACAGAAGTCCACAAACGCTCTGGTATCTGTTAGTCTCAATTTCATGTGCCGATAGATGACTGATACTGATGTAAATTTATTTCCGCAAAATAAACACTTGATATGGTAGTTTAAGTGTGCGGTCATTATATATATTTTTAAATCTGGCTTCCGTCGGTAAGATTTATCGCAATTTGAGCAATATACTCGTTTTGGTGTAACAATTTTCTTCGAATAGTTGCCTCTCAACATGCCTTTAATTGACCCCATGAGTGAAATAATTTTTTATTCACCTGAAAACAGAAATCAAAGAAGAAAATGAGAAAGAGGAATAAGGATAAAATCAAAATCAAAGCCAATTTCTATTCATCTAACAAAATAAATGGATGACATTGCATGTCTTCACATATTGGTTCAACAATTGCTAGCAGAAGCAGATAAGTGTCACCTTTTTAATCAATGTCTCATTTCGATTTTATTGTGTAATGAAACACTATCGGAAACATTTGTTCTAGGTGTGTACATATTGCAGCGAGAACAATTTACCGAATAAATCATTTCGCTTGTGGATAATTGCAGTGCTCATGGATCAGCAATCGAACCACTTCTAAGAGATGACAACCAAATAACCAATGAACTGATCTTTCCCATCAAATAGACAAGTATGATTTTGGCTGACAGCTGATTGTATTAATGCTTGAGCTGCTTGTACTTATACCTGTTCTTTTTGTGTATGGTCAGTATTCAGTATAATGTCTCTTAATTCCATCAGCAATATCCTTCACAATCATCAATGTGACCTTGTGTCAACACCAGTAATTTCGGGTGTTTCAAAATAAAAATGAAAACGAACTCGATATACTCACAGCGTGACTAAATAGAATAAAGAACAGTATCAGTGATTTTAAATTTTTAATAATAGTTAATGAAAATATATTTTTTCATTTGAAGAAAATTACAGAAAATTACTTACATATACTCATTGGATGTTTGTTGCCGTTGTTTTCAAACATTGTTGACATTTCGTGATCATTATGAGAGCTAACCATGAACGCCATCTATTGGAAGTTACCCAATCAGCACTTGATCGTAATTTTTCATACAAATTATGGAAAATACATCAATACGTTGTGTTAATTGGGAACGCCATGTTATCGGAATTTGACAGCTTGTTGAATGTGACTTTTGACATTCGAAATGGTTGACAAATATAAGGAAATTCTCAACTGGTTTATTGTGTTCACTCCGAGTTTAGTTTTATTCATTGAATTTTGAATGGTTTACACAACTTTTTTCGTTTTTAAAGGTAATTAGTTTGAATTTCTCAAGAAATATTGAATCTGTCACGCATTTTTCATAGTACCAATTTTAATGTGATTTCTTCGGTTTTTGGTATTTATATTTGTAATTCAAAGTCACCTCGGGCGTTTTACACCGGAGAAACGATCAGAGGGTTAATTTATCAAAAGTACTCATTAGATCGGTTAACCACAGATTTTTTGTTTGATAATTTTTTTCAGAAGATTTTATGCAACCAACCGATAATGAAGACTGTTTTAATACAATAGATGCTTTGTACTCGTGTTATAAGTGGTCTGATTGTGGGCTAGCTAAATTATATGACCAAGAACGAAAAACTTTTCCACGCCCGAGTACTTCCACGAATAGAACGAATACATTCTTCCGAAAAGGTTTGCGACTGAAAAAACAGAATGTAGGTTTTTAAAAAATATTAATCAAGTCTTGTTTGCACTAATATTTATGCGTGAGACGTCAAAGTTACATACATATCCATTTATTCAAATAGATTGCGCAGAATAAACGACCACGAAGGGCAAGAAAACGGATAATGCCCCCAAAACGGATAATGCCACCAAAACGGATAAAGGACAAATCAAAAAATAAATCGGAGCAGGACGAAGTCATTAAAATGCAGGATAATGTTGATCTCATTCCACACTTGGTAGATGATTTACTGGAAAATGAAATGGTAATTTTGTTCAACATTGAAAATACTTAAATATCGCCTTTATAGGCTTTATGTCCGGCTACAAAAATTCAAATCCGTCATATTTATATTTCAACCGCAAGTGCAATGTGATTTTTTTCATAATTCGACCTCTAGTTGCACTTTTTACTTGATTTTGTTTTTGTTTGGAGTCTTGTTTTCGATAGATGAGAAAGCCAAAATCTTGAGGCTG